CCTTCAACATTTTGCTTTACAATATATTTAGTAAGTAAAGGGAGTCTTTGGCTTTCAACAATTTCTTTAGTGACTGTTCAGAATTATAGTGGCACTGAAATGAGTGATTTATAATCATTTTTCACACTTACGACACTTGCAACATTCCCAGGATCACGTGATCAAAAGTCAGAGGCTTGGCGACTGACTCGTATTTACGATGGTTGCAGCGTCCCGGGGTCATGTGATCCCCTTTTGAGACCTTCTGAAAAGCAAAGTCAATGAGGGAAGCCGGATTCACTTAACAACCGTGCTACTAACTTAACAACTGCAGTGATTCCCTTAACATCTGTGGTGAGAAAAGTCATAAAAAGGGGCAAAGCTCACTTAACAAATGGTTTGCTTAGCAAGAGAAATTTGGGGGTTGATTGTGGTTGTAAGTCGAGTGGCTACTTGGAGGTTTATCTGTGCCCTCTGGGTGATCTGAAGAGTACAAATGGGCGTGGATCCTTCTTGGAATTGTTGAAAGGACAGTGTTGTAAACAGGAGATAGATGGTGTCGTATCCCTCACCTTCTGTTGAGGGAGGACTGGTCTATCTTGATGTAGATGGTCTCTTTGACCCCTCTTTCAAACCAGTGGTCCTCTCTGTCCAGAATGTGGACTTTGCTGTTCATCTGTGTCAAGGTCTTGATTTAACAGTTAACCAGCTTATGTAATATAAGATGTAAAATGTAATGATGGGGATGACTCAGCAGGATCTGTGTCTCTTTAAGAGCCTTTGTATAAAGGCTGATGTGTTCTCTTTCTTCCGTTTCCTGCTATAACTATGGTTAATTGGATCCTGCTGTACTAGCACGTATATGTATATTGTTCCTGGTGTATAATATTGTAGAGAGTGTAAGATAAACCATTTTATACAAACCACTGTTTACTGTATTTACTCCTGGGTTATCTCAGCGCAATAAGACTGTGAACGCTCTGACGATCTGCATTTGAAAGACAAAGGCCACTCCTTTGGAGACAGCAAAGTCCACATTCTGGACAGAGAGGACCACTGGTTTGAAAGAGGGGTCAAAGAGGCCACTTACATTAAGATTGAATAGCCCTCTCTCAACAGAGGGGGAGGGACATGACACCACCTATCTCCTGTTTACAACACAATCCTTTCAGCAGCTGCAAGAAGGCTCCACACCCATTTACACTATTCAGGTGACTCTGTGGGCACAGATAAACCTCCAAGCAGCCTCAACGATTCTCAGGAAGAGTACTAATGACCAGAAGCAAGGGATATTAACCCTTCCATCCTCCACCATTCAATCAGAACTGAAGAAGCTTCTTGGATGAGAAGCAAAACCTCTTCAAAGAAAAATAAAAGTCCAGTTGCCTTTTGAAAAAGCACCTTTGGGACAACCCTGACCTGGATGACTGAGAATCTCCATAGATATTTTTTGCACTGGGTTATGAGTTCATAAGACTGTGGCTGCGGTCAAAAACCTTAATCCTATTTGAAGTTACATCTCCCAGATGCAAGAAATAAAAAGCCCAGCAGATTCTGGACTTGTCAGAATTCCTCTAGCGCAAGTCCTGCTCACAGTCACCCATGCCTTAGTCAATGCCTCTCTTGACAACTGCAATGCATTTTACATGGGGCTGCCCTTAAAAAACAAATATCTGAAATTTTCAGTTGGTTCATAATGTGGCTGCCCACATGGTTTTGGGCAGGTATAGACTTGCATATGTGTCATCTCTCCAGATGCATTGTTTGCTGATTTGCTTCTGGGTCCAATTCAAGGTGTGAAGCCCTCCATGGCTTGGGGCCAGGTTATTTGAAGGATTGTCTTTTTCCAGTTACGTTTAGCTCGCCCATCAGAGTGGGGAGGAAGGAGATGTTACAGGTTTTATCTGTTAAGGCGGTCCATCTGGTGGGACCAAGAAGACGGGCCTTTTCTGTGGTGGCTCCCACTCTGTGGAACATCATTCTGGTGAAAATGAGATTGTCTTTCACCTTGACACTCTTTTGAAAGACCCTGGAGACATGGATCTGCCAATGGGCCTGGGGAACCCAGAGTGATATGGACCCCATCAAGTGATTGGTCTGATTATTGCCATGAGGGGAGAAGGGGGTTATTGGGTTTTGTACTGAAGTTTTATCTTTGTAAGTCACCCAGAGTCATCATGAATGACTTGGGCAGCCATATATAATTTCTTTAATAAAACAGTAATACATAAATTCTTCTTCTAGATTTTTGGTAGAAAAATACTTCAGATGTGGGTTAATTCATGACATAAAAACCACTACAGGGAAAGTTGGAAGAACTTGGATTGCTTGTTCTGGTGAAAGAGAAGAAAGCAGATCTGGAGGACATATAAGTCTGATTAATTGAATCGTGGACTGGGTTGATTGACCGGCGCTACCATTCATGGTCTTTAATTTGTTTTGGACCTTCAACCATCGTCTAAGAAAGTTGTGGAAATCAGATCCTATGATAAAAGGGACAATCACTTTCTACACTGTAATAATGGTGGTTTGTTAATCCAGATTAAAGCATTGTAGGAACCTGGCCAAAGTTTACTCAATTAACCTAATGTTCTGGATTTGCATGATCCAATGAGCCATTAATAAGTCACATGGACTAGGTTTACAGCATACTAGTAGTAAACTAGTGCACTTCAGTACGTTGTGAGAAGACATTGGGCAATTTAAGACTAAGCTTCACATGAATACTAAACCAAAACTAGAGACATTGAGACATTCTAGACACTGCATTGGTCTCTTCTTCTAGGCTATCAGTTCATGTACCATCTTCTCTTGAATGTCCAGCGTCCATTTCAGCTTCTTGCTTCACCTTCTTTGGCTGGAACCATACAATCTTTCACCAAATCTAGTGGCTACATTGCCTAAAAGCAGGGCTTTTTTGTCATAGAACGCCCAGAACGGAGTTCCAGCACCTTTTTTGGATGGAACTTTATAGAGTAGGCAAGGCACGTTGTATGACGTGTGTGAGTTCCGGCACCTTTTTTTTTTAAAGAAAAAAAGCACTGCCTAAAAGTATTGTCTGTTAAACTTGGGTTTTACTGTTGTTGAGGTGGGACAGAGAGTGTGGAGCGAACTCTGCCTCCTTGACTAATATATGGACTTGCTGTCAAAACCAGACAATGGGTGTATCTAATAACTAGGCTTAGCACATATGAATGAAACCCATCTTTCTCCCCCCTCTAAATCAGTGTTTTTCAAAACTTAGCAACTTTAAGATGTATAGACTTCAACTCCCAGAATTCCCCAGCCAGTGTGCTTTGCAGTTCAGTGATGTTTAGAACTTAAAGGGGCCACTCAACAGTCTTCATGGGCTCACATCCCCACTAAGCGGTGGCTAGATTCATACCCACTCCTATATACAAAGTATTTGTATACCCGCAAAAGCGAGCCCAGAGACTTCCGGTGACCAGGGCAGCATCATGTCACACTACAGGTATGTCTAGAACAGGCCCTGATCCACCTGGTACAGGTCACCTGCCTCCTGCTTCTTCCTCAAGTCTCAGGTAGACGTGTGGGAGGGGAAGTTTGCAGGATGTAGGTTCATCTTAGATGAATTTTAATTCCTTCTCTCTCTAACTTGGGATTTCAAAACATGGACAGACTTTTTGCACTGACCTCTAGAACATAGCTCTAAAGCACCTTTGCAATATTTTCTAAGCAAAATGGAAAATAAATATTTTCTAAGCAAAATGGAAAATAAATATTTTCTAAGCAAAATGGACCAGAGCAACAGTCGAGTCATGTGATCCCTAGTTGATTTGGTTACCCTTGTTCCTATGTAGTTGTATTTTTGTCTCTCCCCCCCTTTTTAATCTATTGAATTAAATGATCCACTCAGTACAAGATGTAAAAAAATACTGAAATGATTCTTCAGGTTTATATTTTAATCTGATTTACTAATTTGAAGTCAAAGTATTGGTTGATTTCAAGTACACTTTGGAATCTGGAGCCTCTTCTGCATCTGGAGCTCAAAGCAATTGTCCTAGGGTGAAGGTTATCCCTATTCCCTGCTTCCACTGATGGTGTTCCCTAGTTGGGTCATGAAATGTCTGCAAGAAAACAACTAACCTTAACAAGCTCACCAATGACCTCACAGTTCAACCCTGAACTGCAAATATTCTCTGCAAATATCAATCTTCATAACTGTTTAGAAATGAGAAAGGGTTAGAGTTCTCTGTAGCTCTTTGCTGCCCTCTAGTGTGGTTGCTGGGATTTTTCCAGTCCAAATATGGCACTCCACTCTATTTTCCTTAAAAAAAAAAGGAAGACTTCAATTGGGAGTGTTTAGAAAATAGTCCAAGGACTACATTGACTGCAAGTGCAGAAATTTATTAATCTGCTTGTGTTAAAATTACACAGATTGGTAGCATTGAATCGAGACCTCTTGCAAAGCTTTCTTGCTAATCAAGAGAAGGCAACCTGTGGATCCTAGAAGGTCCCCATCTTCCCATTTACACCCCTCCCAGCACCCTGAGATCACGCCACCAGATATTGGTAGCAGAATTGTGACACTGCAGCGACAGGAAGGGTGCAGAGTACTGGTCAAGGATCTGTGTGCTGAAAGGCAGAGCATTCACACTCAGTGACACACACACAGACACACACAGACCTAGCTACCTCATTCACAAACCAGGGTGCCTGAACTTCACACTTTACCTAGGACAGTGATGGCAAACCTTTTAGAGATTGAGTGCCCAAAAACTGGCCCCGTCCCTGCTCCACCACCCCTGCCCGCCCTCACTCTGCCCCCCATCCCCCACCCCACCTGCCCATAGGACCACTCACCACCTCCAGGGCCCACCGCAGATCGCCCAGGCAGCCCAGCAGCACTATGGCAGCCACACCCTCTGCCCGTGCCCTGCAGCATCAACTGTATGAAGGGGTGTGAGGGCAGAGTCTTGTCTACGCTGCCTGGCTGCCATGTCCTTGGCTGCACTGCTCCGTGTGGGCCATGCTCGAGGGCGACTCTCCTTCAGGGGGGCTGCTGGAGAGGAGGGGGTTGCGAGGGGAGGCAAGGCTGGGGCAACGGCACGTGTGCCCACAGAGAGGGCTCCGAGTGCCGCCTCTGGTACCCGTGCCATAGGTTTGCCATCACTGACCTAGGAGAATGTATCCGAAATTCTTCCCTCCTTTAAAAGAAATCCGGAAAGCAGGCTGAAAAGCCATCTGGATCAATCTACAATTGGAGAAGGGGGGGGGGGAGAATGCAGACTTTTCCAGCTCACCCTCATTTCCCTCTCTGGTAAAGAACTAACTCAAATAAAAAACCAAGAGTGAGAATCATCCAACTCAGCTTTACTTCTTCAAGGAACAAGCAAGACAATTGCAAGTGTGGGTAGGGGCCCTCTTCCCCCCACTCCCAGTCACCCTGTAGAGGAGCCAAGAGCCCCCCCCCAGCCCCCAACTTCCCAGAAACAACAATGGCAGTGCAATGTCGGGATGTTTTAAAGGTGTGAAGTCTCTAGCCATCTCCTGCAAGGTTGATACGGCATGAAGTTTTAATGAATAGCAGCTACAGGAGACCTGAAGATAAGCAGCTCCTTAAGTCTTTACCTTCAGCTATTTTTTTTAAAGAATTCGTGTCCCTTCTCTCTTTCTTCTCCCCCACCCCACCTTCCCGTAACTTCCCCACCTCTTTTCCAGTCTTCACCATCTCACGTTGGATCTCCCCAGCAGCATCTCACTCTAAAAGCAGCTTTTCGCAAATTTGCAAAAGTGGAAAGACACCCGCAAGGAAAGCCAGAACCTGGAGAATAAAGTTGAGTTCCTATCCCCTCATGAAGGATGGGGTGAAACTGACGGGCCCATTTGAGACATCTTTATGGTCCAGTCAATTACATCTTCTCCCAGGAGTGTACTCCCAAAAAAAAAAAAAAAAGAAAGAAAATGTCCTGGGGAAGAAGCCCTGAGGCCAGTTCTAAGTTTTCTCCTTGCATCTGAAGCATTGTGCGTGAAAAACAAAACAAAACTGGGTTTGCTGAGAAGCAAGAGGGAAAGACCTTTTGTGCTAGAGAGACCTATACACACAGAGTACTGCTTATTCTATAGCCCCACCTCCCAAACATTAGAAAAGCAAATGCTTTGGGGCTAAAATCTCCACCTTTCTGCACTGCAGGGACCCCAATGCACCAGGTCAGTGCGCCACCCCATTGAAGCACAGAGATGCCGCATCGGGGTGATAGCCCTCTTGCTTCCCAATCTCACCTGGCTACGAGTTCTCACCTGGATGGACCTGCAGAACAAAAACCTGCCGTGCATCTAGAACCCCCTTCCCCCACGCCCTTGCTAAAAAAAAAAAAATGGACTTCAAAAGGGCTGTTCAAGGGGACCATTCAATCCTTAAATGAAATAATTTGGGCAACCTTGGCTCAGATTAGAAAAGGGCCTGTTTAGACCTAAAAGGGACATCTTTTCTGCAGAAGATGCTGGCAAGCTGGTGGGCTAAACAGAGGACACACGTAGACAACACACACACACACACACACAGACACCCCTCTCTCGGGTTGAGAGAGGAACCCATTGTAGCTTGAGTCTCTTTGAGAGTTCGGGGTTTGCGTCTATCGACGGGAGATCCAGCCATGCACAAAGTCATTTTTGCCAATGTGCCAAACGTTTGCCTGAGAAAACATCTCCTGGAGGAGTCATCCGTGGAAAGAGGTGATGTCTCCCCCCAATTTCTTTATCTTTTTTTTTGTCTACAGAGAAAAAACAGGGAGCTATGGATGCTCTTCCCAAGTGATGCTTTAATGGAGGTAAGTAGGCTGGTTCCATCGGTACCATGATCTGAAAGACACGAAGGCAACACTTCAGTTGTTTCCTTGGGAAGGTGGGCACCTCAAGATGGAAGGTGGGCACCTCAAGATGGAAGAAGGCCAAGTGAGCGATGGTACCTGGTGTGGAGTTGCCAAGCTTCTCCCCTCAAGAAAAAAATGTTAGCATGAATCACTCAATGGCGGGCGAGCCAATTCAGAAGGGCGACCTAGATTTTGTCCCCTCCTATTGAGTGATTTTTCCTGATTTTCACTCAGGGAAATGTCAACATTCTTCTTTGACACTTTTCTCAGAGGAGAAAAAAAATAAGATGATTTTGAAATGTAGCTAGCATTTCAGTGGTGATCTAGAGCCATCATAAACCTCAACTACGTAAACTAATTAATATTGGAAGACTATTGCATTCTTTAAGGGATAGTTGTCAGTTTGGTCTAGGCTCCCAGGCTAGAAACAGGAAGATGGGGAATTCTAGTCCTGCCTTAAACATGAAAACTGACTGGATGACCTTGGTCCAATCACCAGGAGACTGGGAGTTTTAGTTCTGCTTTACTGCAGACATGGAAGCCAGCTGGGTGACTTTGGGTTAGTCACCAGGAGACTGGGAGTCCTAGTCCTGCCTTAGACATGAAAGCCAGTTGGTTGACCTTGGACCAGCTACCTCTCTCAGCCTAATCCACCTCACAGAATTGTTGTGTGAAAAATAGGAGGAGGAAGGATATTAGATATGTATACCGCTTTGAGTTGTTTATAAAAATAATAAAGGAGGGATATGAATAAATACATTTGAGATAAACGTTGGACAGGGCATTATCCTGGATATATTCCCTAGGAGCAACTGAAAGTTTCTTACTCATCCCTATTGTCCACGTGTCAATCTTGGTTTTATACCCAGAATCCTCTTGTCCCTTAGAATAATGCAAATAGCAATGTCCTTACCCAGAAGAATTGAAACTGGACGAATTAATGGCTACTTTAGAGTTACTTTGAGGCATGCTGAGATTGTTGGCGTGAAGTCCTGCGCCAGGTGATGAGGACCGGCTGGCATGGCCAGGAGAACAGGAAGAAGACACTAGGAAGTAGAGAAGAGCATCAAGAATAGTCAGGAAGCACAAGAGAGGCAGGGCTATGTATCTCTCTGTTTCAGTGGATATTTGGAACTTTGTGAGTTTTCTCTCTCACACTCACTTTCCTTGTTTGCATGTGAAAAGCACATTTACCACATTAGTGTCCTCATAACTGCTGAAGTCTAGTAGCTAGAGACTGTTAACAATGGCTATTTTAACTTCATAGAGGCCATTCATTCACTCATATGTTGCCCATCTCACTATACAAAGTAAAATTTGTGGGCAGGGTCAAAAACATTAAGATGGAGGTTGCAACTGTATCACTTAAGCCCTGCCTCTTTTTTAAATTGTATGCACACACACACACACAAAAATACAGTTGTCATTTGAGTTTTCAGCCCCTGCTCTGGCTGAATTCCCCTGTGTTTGACCCTACATCAGTGAAGACTTTCCTTGGCCAACCTCCAAGGATCTGAGGCTACGGAGATGTTGAGGGATAACGTACTCCAAGCCCAAAATGCTTGAAGAATCCCAGGTGATTTCTTTTGATGATGGAGTGTACAGATGTTTTGAAAATAAAGATATAAAATGCCAGGCTTACAAAAATACAACAAAGCAAATAAAATAAAAATAGATCCATTTTTGGTAGAACTTACCTGCGCCATGCATGGAACTGTGGGCAGAAAGGGAACCCAAAGATCCTGAGGTAGAAACCTACAAAAGAGGTGGAGATAGTTCTGGTTGGTTGACTCTAGACCAGTGGTTCTCAACCTGTGGGTCGGGACCCCATTTGGGGTCGAATGACCATTTCACGGGGCTCGCCAAACAACGCAGTCTGCCATTTTCCCCCCCTTTTCCTTAGCTGTGCTACGCCCTTTTATTCTATTGGCTTTTGAAAGCCAATAGAATAGACTCTCTTGAATAGAGTCTAATTCTATTGGCTTTCAAAAGGCAATAGGAATGGTCCAGGCTGTCTCTGCCCTGCTGAGCCCTCCAAAAGTCCCATTCTGCAAACGGTGCTGCACCAGTTGAGTAGTCCTCGACTTACGACCGGTTGGGGGTCGCGGCATTAAAAAGGTTGAGAACCACTGCTCTAGAGGTTCTAGAGCAGGGGTGTCAAACTCGCTGCGTCACGTGATTTTTTTTCCCCCTTGCCAGAGCTGGGGTGGGTGCAGCTTCTGCGTGATGCACATGGCTCACGGGCGGGCAGTTTGACACCCCGGTTCTAGGTTCTGGGCTCTAAAGGTTGCCCAGTCCTGAGCATCACACAAGGCATTTGAGAAGAAGCCATGACTTCCTTGTCATCTAAGGCAGGGTCCCCAACCCCTGGGCCGTGGACCAGTACTGGGCCATGGCATGCCAGCAACCGGTCTGCACAAACAAACAAAGCCCATCCGCGGGATGCAGGCAGCACACAAAACCACGCACTCTCTGCTCCATAGAAAAACCTCTCTCCACGGAACCGGTCCCTGGTGCCCAACAGGTTGGGGACCTCTGATCTAAGGCCAACCCAGCCCAGACAGGACTGTTCTAGAGCAGACATTTGAGCCACACGTGCTCAGGAGAGTTGCTTGATCCATGCACAGGATTCACAAGGCTTTGCTTCTTCAACATTCTGCATTTGCTGATATTGAAGCTGGAACGGCTGCCTTTGCTTACATGCCCGAAACTCAAACTTTTAGAAGACGGGCAGGAAGCAGCAGGCCCGAGACAGTGGAAGATGCCGTTGCTGGTGACTCAGGGAAAAAAGTTTCCAGGTCTCCTAGTGACTCAGAGCCAACATGGAGCCCTTCTTGCTGGCAACCTGTTGGGGAATCCAAAACAAGGAGTCGTGCTGGCTGGGGAACTAATGTCACACCTGGAACAGGTGGGGAGGGAGGAAGAGGAGAGGGGGAAGTCCCTTCTAGTCTATCGAGTTCTGCTCCCAGTTTCACTTGGATGCCAGTCCTTTCCTTAAAGCCATTGTCATCATGGCTGCACAATCTTTCAGAAGGGAATGTTGCAGAGGGGAGGAGTTCCTGGTCAGCTAGCTATCTGGCTGGCTGGCTACAGATGTGACCCCTCCCAGCTGTGTGGCTGAATGAAAACTCCGGGCATTTGTCCTGGAGGCTGCTGGGCATTGCAGTGTGGCAGCGTGGGGAAGGGGAACCAGAGCTTCCCACCACTTTCCATCAAAGAAAATGCATATAGATATATGTTTGCTCTATTGTAAATGATGGAGGATGGAGGCCTTCCTTTATAGGTGGTGGCTGATCAAAATGGGAGGCAAAAAAATTCTGACATGCAGCATGCTGGGACTCTCCATCTGCACTGACGGTGGCCGAATCACACCCAGGAATGTTCACTCTTCTCCTTAAACCCCTGACGGGCCTTCATCTCACCCCCAGCTTATGATGAGATGGGCTGAAGTTGAAGTTGTCCTGAGCTAGGCTCTGGTCTTGAACCTCCCTCCCCTTATTTTTTTTCTTTTTTTCTTTTTCTTTCCTGCCTGTCCCTCCCTCCCTTCCTCCTTCCTTCCTCTCTCATTCCCATCTCCTTCCTTCTTTCCCCATCTCCCCTTCCTCTCTCTCATTCCCATCTCCCTCCCTTCCTTCTTTCCTTCCTTCCTTCCCCATCTCCTTCCTTCCTTCCTCTCTCTCATCCCCATCTCCCTCCCCCCTCCCCCTTCCTTCCTCCCTCCCTCCCTTCCTCATCTCCTTCCTTCCTCTCTCTCATCCCCATCTCCCTCCCTCCTCTTTTCAATCTTCCTTCCTTCCTTCCTTTCCCATCTCCTTCCTTCCTTCCTCTCATCCTCATCTCCCTCCCTCCTTCCTTTCCTTCCCATCTCCTTCCTTCCTTCGTCTCTCTCATTCCCATCTTCTTCCTTCGTTCCTTCGTTCCTTCTTCCTTTCTTCCTCTCATTCCCATATCCATCCTTCCTTCCTTCCTTCCTTCCTTCCTCCCTCCCTCCCTCCCTTCCTTCTTCCTCCCTCCCTCCCTCCTTCTTTCTTTCCTTCCTTTCTTCCTTCCTTCCTTCCTCCCTCCCTCCTTCCTTCCTTCCATCCATCCATCCTATCTTCCTCCCTCCCTCCCTCCCTCCCTCCCTCCCTCCTAGAGAAAAAGGGGCCCAGCCAGCCCTCCTTACCAGTCTGGAATTGTAGAGGGGTGACTTCATGGGGGAAGGCATTGGGCAGCTGATCCGTTTTTCCTTTTGCCTTCGGTTGCAGAACCAGACTCGGACCACTTCTTTTTCCATGGCCAGCTGTTCCGCAATCAGGGAAATTTCCTCCGAGCTGGGCTTGGGGTTCTGCTGAGAGAAAGTCAACAATAAGAATGGATGGAAGGATGGAGCGGAGCTGCCTTCCCCGTTCTGTAAGCTTCGGAGCTAAGGAGATTAAGAAAGGAAGGCGTCGAGTCCAATTTCTAGGGTCCTTTGCCTGCCCGTTTTACAGAAGCAACTTTCGGTTGAGCCAGATGGAAAAAGGAAAGCAGGATTGTCTCTCCTACATCTCCAAGCTTCTCCTCTGGCAACTCACTGCTTCTTCTTTGGGCTGGAAACCGTCCTGAGTTTAAAAGAGGGCCAGGCTTCTCCCTGCTGGCCCATTTCCTACATGCTGGCTTGCCTTTTGTCTGTGGCGCCTTTCTGCTTATCCTTGCTGGCCAACATGCTGCCAACAATGGTCAACCTTCATTCAGCTCTGAGCATCCCTACCAGGACCTCTGCCTATTTCCCCTCGAGGACAGCCATGCTTACGTCCTGGAACCGTGTCTCCAGCGTGGAGCGAATGTTGGTCTCAATGCTGGTTCGTTTCTTTCTCTTGCGTCCAAACATCTCGCTTACAGAGGGGTAGGAAGTGGGGCTGCTGACGGACGAATCTAAGGGGGAGGATTCTGTGGAGGGGGGAAGGGGGAAGAGGAAAGCCAATTTTTTGTTGTTGTCGTCGTTGCAATTCACTTTGTCTGACTTTATTAGAAAGAGTCCCTTCATTCCCTCTGAATGTTACAAAGAGCAGATCTGAGTCTGTCATTGTGTTTTTCTGGACTGTTCAACGTACATTTCAGCAAGAGTCCTAAAGATTACGAAAGTTGGCATATTCTACGATTTTCTGGTGGCGCATCCCCACATTCCTCTATTTTGCCTGTGTTGGACGAGTTCAAAACACTCTGCTGACCCCCAGTGGCTCAATGTGCTCATCACAGTCACACAGCCCAGTTTGGCTTAACCTTCCATTGCCCAAATTGGATGTGCATGGGTTCTTAAGGTACTTCTGTAGGGCATTGAAAGGGTGCTTCCCTCCTTCCAATCCACCCCCCAAAATAATGGAAAATATCCAATGAGCAAAGAGATAGAAATGGAATAAGGCAAGGGAGGGGGAAAAAGGTGGTGGTGGTGGGGGGAAAGCATTGACTTCCAACTTCCTTTGGTAAAATAGAGTATCAATTTCAAACCTCAACTTTTTACTTTTACAAAATAATATAAACTAGCCATTTCAATAACATCAAATCTATCTAATTGGTAAAGCCCACAATCAAAATTTCATTTTCCCCCCACCTTAAGCACGCTTCTCTACTCCCTTTTCCCTTCCCCATCTGTCCTGCTATTTACTTTGTATTTTGATTATATCGTATATTATAAACTAATAAAATTTAAGAAAAAGAAATGGAAGAAGGCAAAACATTTTTTTCCCTTTTAAACATCCTGTAATCCCTTGCGCTGGAGCGGCGTTGGGGGCGACTGAACAGAGCTCAGCATTTGCTGGCCAGATGCCCTTCCTGACACCTATAGAGCGCTCATAGCAAATATATTCTCTTTGTGCCCAGAGAGAAAAATTATCTGCCACTACCTAGGATTGAACTCTCCACTGCTCTGAAGAAGACAGAACATTATTGAGCCCCTTAAATATATAAATATATATATAAATATAATCATACCTGCGTCACTCAGCCACTTCTCCAGAAGTGGTTTTAGCTTGCACATGTTCTTGAAGCTCAGGTTGAGAGCTTCAAAGCGAGAAATGGTGGTCTGACTGAAATCATTTCCATAGAGTTTCCCCATAGCCAGACCCACATCGCCCTACAGAGAGGAAAAGGTGTCAGAAAATGGACTAAAGCACCTGGGAGAGTGAGATCCTGGTGTTATTGCCTGAACATTGCATAGGATTCTTCTCTTATCATGTTTCTTTTGCAGGAGCACCATCTTCTTTTTGAATACATTAAATATTAGTTATACTGTACTATATCATTGTAATAGAATGATGTAACAGGGTTAATTACGATCTGCTAATTATACTCGCTATTATAGTACTATAAAGCCACAGACTATCTTTGTAAGGTGCATGTGGGTACAAATTAGAAAAATAACTAAATAGGGGGAAAACTAATTAGAATTAACAGATTATGTATTTGTTGTAAAAAAAAAAGTTCTTCATTGATTAAGCCTCAGATCGTTTACAAGAACAAGCAAAGGAAGAAAGAAAAAGAGGAAGGAAGAAGGAAAGAAAGGGAGGGAGGGAGGGAGGAAGGGAGGAAGGAAGAAGCAAGAAGTAAGGAAGGAAAAGAATGGAGAGAAAGAAGGAAGGAAGGAGAAAAGGAAGGAAAGAAGGAAGAAGAAAGGAAAAGAAAGGAAAGAAGGAAGGAAGTGAGGGAGGGAGGGAGCGGGCAGGGAGGGAGGGAGGGAGGGAGGGAGGAAGGAAACAAATGTGCAGGACTCAATTCAAGGAGAGTCAAAGGCTTGGGCCAGGGGCATCTCCAGAGAAGGTCCAAAATATCAAGATGGCGGGCGTGCCTTGTGACTTAAACTTTGGCTCTTTTTTCCATGCCTGCATGTGTGTCCTTTCCTGCTATTTCACTTTTCCCTCTTAGCACAGATCTGGAAGGCTTCCCCTGGTGCCCTTCCACTACTGCATTTGGGAGCAGAAAGGCCTTTTCCTTTAAGCCAGTGGTTCTCAACCTTTTTAATGCCACGACCCCCAACCGGTCATAAGTCGAGGACTACTCAACTGGTGCAGCACCGTTTGCAGAATGGGACTTTTGGCGGGCTCAGCAGGGCAGAGATAGCCTGGACAATTCCTATTGGCTTTGAAAGCCAATAGAATTAGACTCTATTCAAGGAAGTCTATTCTATTGGCTTTCAAAAGCCAATAGAATAAAAGGGAGTAGCACAGCTAAGGAAAAGGGGAAATGGCGTTGTTTGGCGACCCCCGTGAAATGGTCGTTCGACCCCAAATGGGGTCCTGACCCACAGGTTGAGAACCACTGCTTTAAGCAAAGGTATGTGAATTGTCCAGGTGAGACTCCTCTCACCTGCGTAAACCCCAGTTTGATGCGCCTCTGCTTAAAAGTCTTGGCAAATTTTTCCAGCTCTTCCAAATCATTGGCTTCATCTGTTGCCATGGAGGACGACAAGTGTTTGGCCACTTGTAAGTGTTGAGGGGCCTCCAGGTGAGGCTCCAACGATGACCCAGGGTGTCCAGGACGTCCCATGGCCTGTTAAAATACAATCCATTGTGGAATTGTCATTGCACTGCAGCTGCAACTCATCCTTCTCCAACCTTTGACAATCTATTCCAGAATTCCCAGCCACATGGGTCCAGACCAGTGGTGGGATTCAGCCGGTTCACACCAGTTCAGTAGAACTGGTGGCTAAATTTTGCTGCATTCAGAGAACTGGCTGGCTGCCAGAAATCCAGTCTAGGCCTTGGAGGCCTGGAGGGGGCCTCCCAAGCCTAGAACGGCCTGCTGGAAATGTGTGGATGCCACTTCCAGAAGTCCGTTCTAGGCGGAGGCCCAGGCCTGCATCGAATAAGAGAACCGGTTGTTCAAAAAACACTGGTTCAGACACATCTGGAAGAGCACCCCATTAGGAGAGCATCATGAGATCTACAGTGGCAGGCCAAACCACAGAGACCTTAAGCTTCTGATGCCGACGCAAACCAGCCACTACTTTTCAGTCTCTCTTGTTCATGGATGGTGCCATCATGGACGGTCAGCAAGACTGAATCTCATTAGGATTAGGAAATCTGTGAAGATTCTCAATCCTCCAGGTCATGGTTGCCCCAAAGGTACTTTTTTTTCCCCAAAGGCAACTTCTCTTCCTTTTTTTTTTTTTTCTTTGAAAGTGTTTTGCTTCTCATCCAAGAAGCTGAACCAAAGAAGCTTCTTGGATGAGAAGCAAAACGTTTTCAAAGAACCCCCCCCCCCCAAGAAAGTCCAGTTGCCTTTTGGAAAAAGCACCTTTGGGACAGGATTAAGAGGATGTCTATCAGGAAACCTCAGGTTAAGTGGGATAGACTGAGAAGCTGAAAATCTCAGCAAGAGTAAAGCCATTTCTGTAGTATTGGCAACAAAAGTCCTTGAATGGGTCCCTATAGTTATCAGGCATCCAACTCAAGTTAAAGAAGACCTTCTTTTGAGTTCCATGATCTTAATCTTCTGGGGCATTTTAATGAGCTATTGTGCCCTGCAGACTTTTCAGAAGCAGAGGCAGACACCGAGACAGACAGAGAGAAAGAGACAGAGACAACGCACTTAAACTGTGAGTAGGAAACGGGTTGTGTCAACCTAGGCTTGGCAATAGGATTATGAACCTACAAGGTGAAAGATTTCATCACTGGCACTTTTTGTAGCATTGGGGATGTGTTTATAGAACTTTGAACTTTTGAAAATCTAAGGAGAAATATGGACCTCTTCAAAATATGGGCTGGAACTACCGATTGGATTTGGCTTAGAAGAACTCAAAATAACAGAGTTGGAAGGATTTGGGTATGGGTGGTCTGGAGAAAAGAAGGACTAGGGTTGACATAATAGCAGTATTCCAGGTGTAGGGTCTTCTGCTTGAGCAGGGAGTTGGACTAGAAGACTTCCAAGGTCCCTTCCAGCTCTATTTTGAATTTTTAAGTTAGAATTTAGGAAGGGATGGTGGAAGTCCTCTAGACCAACCCCTTGTTCAAGTAGAAGACCCTATTCCATTCCAGACAAGTGGCTGTCCAGTCTCTTCTTAAAAGCCTCCAGTGATGGAGCACCCACAGCTTCTGAAGGCAACTTCCGTTCCACTGGTGAATTGTTCCCACTGTCAGGAAATTCCGCCTTAATTCTAGCTCGGTTCTCAGTTGAACAGAGTTTCAGCAAATGACAACCCTTATAACGACAACAGCAGCAAGTCAATGGATGGGACTTACCTGAGATGCTAAACTGTGTCCATGCTGTGGGAGCAGAAGCCCACTTTGCTGCTGAGGAAAGGAGAGAAGGTTTGACTGGAGAGCTGAAAGAGATGGAGGAAAATTTTGGTCAGATACTTCAGCTCCACCAAGTCCAACCATATCCAGATGCAGATCATTGTCCCATATCCCCAATTTTAGAGTCTCAAGAGACGCGCCCCCCCTTCTCCCCTTATTCCATTCCCTTGATGACAAGGCGTCTCTTGCCTTCTCTTTCCCCAATGCAACATTTCACAACTTGGTTAGTCATCTAGAGAAAGATGCTTGTGCAAATTAACCTCCCCCTCAGCTCACTAATACAAGTTGGAATTGCTCAAAATGAAAAGTAGAGTGATTCTGAGGGCCGGAAACGAAAAGGTCACAGCAGAGAATCACTCTTGACCTCTGATTGTTGCATCCCGTTGTTTTAAATTCAGAAGTAAAGTAAAGTAAAGTAATGTCTGGAGGGCTTAATCTTAAGAAAATGACCTAAAATTATAGGTCGTCCTCCACTTACAACAGTGGTTCTCAACCTGTGGGTCGGGACCCCATTTGGGGTCGAACGACCATTTCACGGGAGTCACCAAACAACGCAGTCCGCCATTTTTTTCCCTTTTCCTTAGCTGTGCTACTCCCTTTTATTCTATTGGTTTTTGAAAGCCAATAGAATAGATTCTCTTGAATAGAGTCTAATTCTATTGGCTTTCAAAAGCCAATAGGAATTGTCCAGGCTGTCTCTGCCCTGCTGAGCCCACCAAAAGTCCTATTCTGCAAACGGTGCTGCACCAGTTGAGTAGTCCTTGATTTATGACCGGTTGAGCAGTCCTCGACTTACGACCGGTTGGGGGTCGCGGCATTAAAAAAGTTGAGAACCACTGACTTACAACAATTCATTTAAGGACCATTAGAAGTTGCCAGGGCACTGAAAAAGTGACTTATGACCGTTTTTCACACTTACGACCATCGCAGCATCCCCACGGTCACATGATCAAAATTTGGATGATTGGCAACTGGTTCGTATTTATGTCGGTCGCAGTGTCCCAGGATCATGTGATCCCCTTCCGACAAGCAAAGTCCACGGGAAAGCTAGATTCACTTTGCAATTGTATTGCTAGCTTAACAACTGCAGTGATTTACTTATTTTGGGCTCAATTGTGTAGCATCTACCCACCCCACAGGTTGCATTACAACTCCCATCACTCCTAGCCAGGTTGGAGCAAGTTCAGTCAAACGCCACCATCCCTGTCTCACAGGCATGTGGCTGTGACAATAAGACAATTTGCTGGAGGTGACTTGATGACAAAGATGAGGCAACAGCTCCTGAAGTCATCCATGCTTTGAATTACCTGCCACCAAACAGACAAATTGGCAGGTGTCCTCCTTCTTCGTAAGGCCTCTGTTAATTGTGCGAATTGTTGCATGAGGTGAAAACAGGTTGTGTGTTTTTATTAAAAAAAAAAGGCAGCACAGCAGAATCTTCAGCCACTGTGTGAACTCTTCTGGTTGCACACCACGTGTGACAAGTCAGGACGGTGGTTGAAGACCCACATTTCAACTGGGTTTTGGCTGGCACCCTCGTTCATACTTTTTCATCCATAATTTCTCAGCCTTTTGGGTATGATCAAGTGTAGTGTGTAATACTTTTTCACTCAACTCATCTCCTTCAGAATAACAGAAGAGTTGAAAAGGACCTTTGAGGTCTTCTAGTCCAACCCCCTGCTCAAGCAGGAGACTCACTACCATTTCAGACAAGTGGTTGTCCAGTCTCTTCTTAAAAGCCTCCAGTGTTGGGGCACCCACAACTTCTGCAGGCAAGTCGTTTCTACTAGTTAATTGTTCTCCCTGTCAGGAAATTTCTTTTTAGTTCTAGGTTGGTTCTCTCCTTGTTTAGTTTCCATCCATTGCTTCTTGTCCTGCCTTCAGGTGCTTTGGAGAACAGGTTGACCCTCTTCTTCTTTGTGTCAGGAAATTTCTCCTTCGTTCCAGGTTGGTTCTCTCCTTGATTCTGCTCCTGCCTGTCACTGAAAACTGAGTCACCATGAATTACCTTTGGGTTTCTATTGCTGGCCTGTGTAATCCTGATCTTGCACCTCCTTCAGCAAAACCCTCACTTCGCTCCTGATGTCATGTCTCCAGGGGAAAGAAAACAAAACAGAACTGTTGAAACCACCACAGGGCAGGAACTGATTCGAGTTTCATGCGCCTGGAAACTTGCAAATCAGGGGCACGCTTGTCAGCACAATTAGACTCACAAGTCCTGTGTGGCTCTGCAAAGGCTTGGCGACTGCTCCACTCCATTGTTTAATCATTTTACAATATTTGAGCCAGATAGGATCTAAATGAGCCAGACGTGAAAAATTAGCCCCATGGCTTTGCTTCCTAGTTGTAGGGTGGCTGGTGCAGCCTACTTCGGTAAGTCTCTTCCTGGGGGGGTGGGTGGGGAAGGTTTGGGCAGGAAAAGATGAGTGGCGATATCATCTGTTTCCCCAAAGGAGAAGAGTGACAGGTGGACATGGAAGCATGACTCCGTGGCTCCAGGCATCACAGCAGACTTGCTCTGAACTTTGACTCTGGAACCATTTGCTTTTTTAAAAAAAAATAATCGGAGATATAAGGAAGCAGAAGAAACAACCGTGCTGAGCTGGCCATTCCAGGGCAGGGGGAAATGCGCTCTTTGGTGGCTCAGCCAAAATTTTGGTCTTGGTGGGCTGGATTGCTGGTGATCTTGGATTCTGAAATGCCAGTTCTATTCATAATAAGACCATGTTCATCCCTAATCTGAGAGTGGATGAGCAAGTGCAGCTGTTGTGTGATCAAAATCTGGTTGGATAAGGGTGTAATGTTGTCCTCATGGAAATAAGGATTCCTGAGCTTGTGGTCCTTCAGGAGTCTTGAGATTAAGGCTGGGTAGAAAATGTCTACCTGGGACCAAGGGTTCTGCTGCATGTGGAGGGGAATTTTGGAAGGGTGGGCGGAACAAGCTGGAGAACTTGCTGGTGTAGCTGTCTTGCTATCCAGGAGAATCCCTGAGAGGTTTGAACAAGAAGCTGCTAGCAACCATCAATGGAGCAGGCCCACTTTCTCCTTGCTATTGCCAGGAAGCTCCTGGAAGGACCAAAAGGCTTTAGAAACAGGAATTAAGCATTTCCTGGAGAAGGTTGCTCAGTTGTTGCCTGGAGAAAAAATTGGACTCTTAGACCTCAGAGAAGGGAGAAGGAGCTGAAAGAAGTAGTTCCCAACTACTTGAGGAACAGGCGGTATGACTCAGGACTAGGGAACAGCATCTACACCAGGGTTTCTCAACCTTGGCAAGTCCAAGATGCATGGACTTCAACTCTCAGACTTTAAGAAGTCCACACATCTTAAAGTGGCCAAGGCTGAGAAACACTGACCTACACAGACATTATAGAAATCAACCAACATCTAAAGATGTTCACCTTACCTTGTTGTCCTGCTGGGCTTTGAGAAAGCAGGAATAGTGGAACAGACTGCATAGGCCCCGGAACTTGCACAAGTTGCTGCAAAGTATGAAGAGAATTCACATTCTGAAGGAGAAGAAGACAGGTCAGATATACTAGGACACCCTTCCACAGCCAGCCCATCACTGGGCAACTGTCCCTCTTCTGCTTCAGATGCATCCTCCTGCTTTCTGCTTTCTCCTTTCTCTCTCCCCCAAATAACAACACATTTGCAAATGTGTGGCCATTGTCAGCTTGCTCTTGGCTTGAGCAACACTGGAAGCCCAGGTCATAGAGCCCTCATTGAATTAAGCCATTGTTTGTTTAACCAAGGTTTTTTGGGGGATAATCCCTTCCTCCCAATCCCCAACCAAGCCAAAAATTAACGATGCTTTGCCCAAATGCCTTGGCTTATGTATTGGAGTGACTCTCTCAAAAAGGTGTGGCCTAAACTGTGATTCTTAATGTGACATAAGGAGTGGAAATATTAAGGTATTATTAAGCATGACTAGAGAGTAATCATCTTTACTTGATTTAATTTTAATTAAATTTAAATATAAATGAAAGCAGACCTAATTAGTTCTCTGGCCCCACCCTATTTGGGGGAGAGTGTCCTTTTATCACTCAAAGGCTATATAAGTCTCTAGATCAGAAAAAGATTGCCCATTCCTAGCATAAACCAGGATTCCCCTGGGACAGTGATTGGCTTTACCCATTGCTCAAAAGCTAGGACACATTATAGTTTCTTTCATGCAGTACCATATGGTATCCAGCCATATTGTGATATTCAGCCCCAGTGGAAGATAGGACAACCATTTATCCAGGATGGTCTAAGGCAGGAGTAGGCAACCTTGGCTCTTTTATGACTCGTGGACTTCAACTCCCAGAATCCCTGAGCCAGCATGGCTCAGCTTGGAAACCTCTCCCTTTTCCCTCAGCATGGCTGGCTCAGGAATTCTGGGAGTTGAAGTCCACGAGTCATAAAAGAGCCAAGGTTGCCTACCCCTGCCCAAATGCGTGAATCATGTGACCGTGTGGAAAAATAATTAAATATTTAAACCAGGGGTCTTCAAACTTAGCCCTTTTATGACTCGTGGACTTCAACTCCCAAAATTCCTGAGCCAGCGTGGGGACACTATGGCCCCCTCATGACTCGTGGACTTCAACTCCCTTTCCCCCTCAGCATGGCTGGCTCAGGAATTCTGGGAGTTGAAGTCCACAAGTCATGAGGGGGCCATAGTTCCCTCATGCTGGCTCAGGAATTCTGGGAGTTGAAGTCCACGAGTCATAAAAGAGCCAAGGTTGTCTACCCCTGTTCTAAGGACTCCTGACATGGGCAGGGGGTTAGACTTGTTGACGTCTAAGATCCCTTCCAGTCCTATGATTGTAGGATTCTAGATGAGCAAGAGCTTTTGTAATCTACATCGTGAACCTCACTTGCAAACTTTACAAATGCCAATAGCCTCACCTTCCATAAATGTCCATGCTGAAAACCATGTCTTTCATCCATGAATTCAAGGACGGAAGTTGGCCTTCATGTTCCCCTTAAATCAGTGGTGGGATTCAAATATGTGAACAACCGGTTCTCTGTGTGGATGCTGCTTCTGGATATCCATTCTGGGCTCGGGCAACAAAAAATTAGCTACCAGTTCTGCCGAACAGGTGCAGACTGGCTGAATCCCACCACTGCCTTCAATCCTTCAGTCTTCCTGGACAACCTCAGGATCTCATGATGAGGAAGTGGGAAATATAGTTCTATTTATTTTTCCATGCCATGCATATAACCCCCCCTAGAGGCACAGCTAAATGTCTGTGGAGAATCTCAGTCATCCAGGTCATGGTTGTCCCAAAGGTGCTTTTTCAAGAGGCAACCGGAGTTCCTTTGTTTTTCCTTGAAGACATTTCGCTTCTCATCCAAGAAGCTTCTTCAGTTCAGTTGAAAAAGCACCTTTGGGACAATCCCCCTAAAGCTACAAAACCCTCAAGAAAAGATCCCATGCCTAGACATTTTCTTCTCTTTCTACAACCAGGACGTTCTTCCTGCCATCCACGTTAAGACGGCTCAGCAGATTTCATTCAAGTGTGGATCAGAACGGAACTATCTTCGTGTTCCAAGGGCCTTCAGATCAGACCTCCGGGGAAGTCTTATTCCTGAACTCGTCATCTGCGCTTCTATGTGTGAAAAGTGCTGTCTCTTACCCCAGGAATTTGTCCTCCGGGCATCATGGGATTGCCCTGGGCTAGGTGACTTGATCTGGAGGACAGGGACGCTTGCAAGGAGTCACTGAGGTCTTCTGTTTTAATCTGCAAGGGGGAGCAAAAGGAACGATAATGTCAGCAACATTTTCGAACCTATCTGAAAAGCACCAAGTTGGAGAAGACTGTAGGGTAGTTTCAAATGACTTGCTGTGGGGTTCAGTCTACTCAAAGTGATTGGATAGCACTAAATTTCTAAAACAGAAAAAAAAAACTCTAGGGAAGAGAGACTTAATGTCTATATTTTCATGGAGATCTCATCCCCCCCCCCAGACTGATTTCTAAAGAAATATTGGAACATTCACTCAAGGGATTCCTAACCAACTCTTTTCACAGAGCTCCTCTCCTTATGAGATATGTCAGATACAATTTACTTGTATCTTAAAAAAAAATCAATTCCAATATTTTGCTTCTTAAGCTAAGCTTCAGTTAGTAGACTGCTTGCAGTTCTGACTCTGAAGTAATATCCTGTCCATCAGGATGTCCTTTCACCAATGACATAAATAGTCACAACATTTGAGTAATGACATGTCGATGCAGAAAAGAGCATCATAGCTTGTGCCAGACAGGTCTATATAAGCCACTTGGTATAATCTCTTTGGAAACAAAGTCAAATGTTTGTCTAATGACGTCTGCATTGATCAACAGAGGAAGGAAAAGATGTCATCCAAATATCTGTGCAGCCTCAAGAAGTTGTGGGTGCTCCAACACTGGAGGTTTTTAAAGAAGAGATGTTTAACCAGTTGTCTGGAAAGGTATAGGGATTCTTCCTTGAGCAGAGGTTGGACTAGAAGACCTCCAAGGTCCCTTCCAATTCTCAGTTATTTTGTTGTTCTGAGTTATGTTGGGCCCAGATTCATGAGCCAAAGACAAATCAAACTTCTTCCTATGTCCCCAAAACACATTTTATGGAATATTTGCACACAGAAACCATCCCCTAGGCCAGGGGTGGGGAACTTGGCCCTTTTATGACTTGTGGACTTCAACTTCCTGAATTCCTGAGCCAGCCATGCTGGCTCAGGAATTCTGGGAGTTGAAGTCCACAAGTCAAAAAAGAGCCAAGTTTCCCCACCCCTGCCCTAGGCATCCAGTTGGTCTATCCTTGATACTGGATGACTATGACTAATGATCCTTGAACAATAGATGAAGAACCAAGTTAAACTGGAACCACAAACTGTTTATGTAGAGCAAGAAGATTGGTGCAGTTTTTCAGACTTGGTTTCTTCAACTATTCTCCTTCCGTCTTACACGTTTTTCTTGGAAGAAACCATATGGCTAAAAGTTTACTCCTTCCAGATTCCTCTGGAGAAAGAAAAGAACAACCAACATGATCAGAACTTGTCTCTATCCCAGGGGTCTTCAAACCTGACCCTTTTATGACTTGTAGACTTCAACTCCCAGAATTCCTCAGCCAGGCATGCTGGCTGAGGAATTCTGGGAGTTGAAGTCCACAAGTCATAAAAGGGCCAAGTTTGAAGACTCCTGCTCTATCCCATAAGGGAGCAAGTTGTCTCCATGTAGTATTGTGGAAGAGAAGCTACTTCAAACCCCTTTGATCTATTCTAGTTGAAGATGGACGACACAAAGGAGGACAGAAGTTAATCTCCTGTGGCAAAACCTTGGCTAAGATGTTTGCGGTGCTTTAAAGAATGAAAAGAACAAAGCAATTATAAATTGGTGAGCCTTTAAGATGCCATCAAGCTATTTTCTCTGTTTGTTTGGCTCATAACATTTTCCCCTGTCATTCTACCTAAGCATATGGTGTTCAAGGCAGCTGGCAATGAAGCCAAAGGCAGAACAGGCAAGTTGAAAGCCCAATTAAACAATCATCCACTTAAAACCTAAAACAATAATTATACAATAAAACCACCATCAAAACCACCTAAAAGGGTAAATTGCAAGGATTGCAGCTTGGTCTCCTGTCGGAAGGTGTGGCCTGATCAAGCTTGGAAAAAAAAATGTTTTGCACCCACCTCCCTGCATCCCAATTCTTACTTTTTCTTTCTAATTTGTCTTTGAAGTTTGCTGGGATGCCCTTCTACAAGGTTTGCCGGGAAAAGAGGAATTAAATTAAATGAGGGGAATTGAAATCCAGGAAAACCCTCCAGGATGAAGGGATAGAATTAGAATGGTGGGCATACCTGCAACTGCAGGTGAGATATTGGAAAGACGAAAAAGAGTTAGGCATTAAATTAGAACCAATAGAATTGGATAAAATAATATTGGGGTTGGAGGATAAAATAATTAAAAAATTATACCACTATTTGTTAGATCAGGCAATGTACGAGGAACAAGTAAAGGTGACTATGTTGAATTGGAGCAAGGACTTTGGTCTTCATTTTGATCTGCACATCTGGCAAGAACTATAGGCAAGAAACAAGAAGCTTACTTTGACCACCTCTTACAAAGAGAACCTTTACAAAATGTTTTATAGATGGCATCTCCCACCCATAAGATTGGCTAAAATGTGTACCAATGTCTCCCCTAAATGTTGGAAATGTAATTTGACAAGTGGAACTTACTATCATATGTGGTGGGAATGCACGCGAGCTTGTGATTTTTGGAACAGGATTAAAGTATGGTTGGAAGAAATATTAGAGCAAGTGGTAGAACCTAAACCAGAACTCTTTCTATTAGGTTTAACTACGCAAAAGCATGACAAAGGCATACTTTATTTAATGCTACACATTTTAACGGCTTCCAGACTGGTTTTTGCTCAAAATTGGAGGAATAAGGGAACTCCAACGGAAGAAGAGATCCTGCATAAAATTTTATCATGTGCTGAGATAGACAGGCTTACAATGATTATGAAAGACAAGACAGAACACGAATACTTCGAAATCTGGGGCAAATTTTACCGTTGGTATGAATTAAGGAGAACTGCTCGGACTTCAAGTTAATGGTAGAATTAAAAGATATATATAACTGTACATATAATTGTATATATAATTGTATTGTATAGAAGATGAGGCTTATATAGAGGTTAAGAACGATGTATTAAGCTTTTGTACCATGATAGGAACTGATAGGAAAATTCATTCTGGAATGTCATGTTTGTCCATTGTTGTTTTAATTGTATTATGAATAAAAATATTTTTAAAAAAAACTTGGCACACTGGCTGAGGAATTCTGGGAGTTGAAGTCCACAAGTCATAAAAGGGCCAAGTTTGAAGACCCCTAGTTTGAAGTTACATTGGCATTAGAAAAAAATGAATTATGACTGGTCCTCATATTTATGACCATTACAACATCCCCATGGCCATGTCATCCAAATTCGGGCATTTGCAACCAGTATGTATTTATGACACTTTCCCTGTTCCGGGATCATATGATCCCCATTTGGGACCTTTCCAGCCAGCTTCTGACAAAAACAAAGTCAGTGGGGGAAGATGGATTCACTTTACAACCATATGACTCATTTAACAACGGCAAAGATTCTACTGGAATATGGAAAATGCATTTAGCAGTTGTGGGTCACAGCTGTTGATGAAACAGGTGTTGATAAAAGTTTAAAACTAATTCTAAGTAAAAGTGCAATTACTTTGCTTCTGCATACTTATTGTAGCCAAATAAGTATTTCATAAATATAATAAGTCTCCAAACATTTTCTGATATTTTGAGGGAAATCTTGATTCTATAGTAATCCTAAGTGAGCATATTCTGGGTTTGTGTAGGATGTTATTTCTTTGGTGTACCAAATTACATTCTGGAGCAAATTGAAAAACTTTTCAATTTAGTATTTTTGATTGAAAGCTTTGATGATCCCACTGAGAATTCTGTCAGTAGTTTCATACATACATACATACATACATACATACATACATACATATACATACATACATACACACACACACTCTGGCACCTTTTTTGGATGGAACTTTGTACGGTAGGCGGGTTGTATGCCGTGTGTGAGTTCCAGCCCCCCCCCTTTTTTTACAAAAAAAGCACTCTGTGTGTGTGTGTGTGTGTGTGTGTGTGTGTATGTATATGTATATATATATATATTAGCCTAAGTTAAAAGAAAGAAAAACGAACACCACGATAGAATAAACCAGACTGTTTAATGTAAACAAGCCTGTGGTTAAAAAAAATCACTAAGCTTTCGTCGGCCAGACTGTAAACCTTTGCATCTAAAATGTTCTAAAATACTGAGAAATGTCAGAAATAAAAGACACAAGATGATAGAACAGGTCCTGCTAAAGAACTGAAAACTAAGTAATCGCAATTATTAAATCAAATCTTCAGCTCTTCTGAACTGATTAACACCCCTGCTTCATCAAAAAAGAACAGGATCATTTTATGTGATTAAACTACTTAGTGATCAGATACTTCTGCTCCCAAGCTCTTTCGACTTGCCCCAATCATCTTTTTCTTTTTATCCCGTCATTAATCTAGAATAATTTTCTTCAGTCTCTCTGAGTCAGCAGAACTCATCAAGTTCGTCAATCGTTGCAAAATGCTAAAACACAAGACACGCAGCCCTCCTACTTTTCAGCGAGTTGCAAAGTCATCCTTCCTAGAGATGATTGTTCATTATATTCAGCTTTATTCTGAGACCTGTATGAATGTATTAATTTGTAATCAGCAGAAAGGTTACTCATTCAACCCAGAGTCTAACATGACAGAAGGCTACCAGTGCTCCAAATTGTCTTTCATTGGAGGTTTTTTTTTTTTTTTGGTAAATGCATTTTTGTTATTATACAATTAATATGTAACCTGGGTCAGCCACCTGGGAGAAGACGCATATGTCTTCCTGATAATAATGTAATCCGGTTGCCAAGCACACATTCCCATGGCTTCCTTCCCCATCATTGCAAGTTAACATGCATTTGGAAACAAAGGACAAGTATACCTTTATCCCACCAACTTTTGCAAAGTTATACAACTGTCAGACAAAAAAAAGAAAAAGGCTTATAGTTCAAGTCAGAGGCTGACATTGAATAAAAGAGCCGGACTGTCTAAGTATTATTTACTAGATTAATTTAAATCCATCCAGTGACACATGTTCTGGGGATGGATGATGCAAGAAAAAAAAGCAAATGGTTTGCTCAGATTCCAGTGTAGGCTTGTCTCCTGCCCTCTGGCTCCATCTCTCTGAAAAAGCGTGCTGTGTGAACCCTGAAATCCGGAGTTCCAGAAGAGTAAAAATCTCTCCAATAAAACCAAAAGCCAGAAAGAGCGTCTCCCAAGCCGTTAGTGCAATACACACCCAGGACCAGCAGAGGGCGAGAAGAGTTCATAGAGGATGGGGAAAAAAAAAGGAATTAAATTCTACCAGGGATTTGACTCGGAGTGTTCAGCATGTTAAAAAATGGTAAAACACGGGGAAAAGTCCTTTTATGGTGGGGAGGATATATTGCAGGAGAGAAAGAGAAAGAGAAAGAGGGGAAAGAAAGATAAAGCTATGTTCTGTGTCACGTGAGGAGACTCAAGCCTATTTTATCAAAGAGTATTTTGAGAACACCCTTCCTTTGAAAAGAAACTACAGGTAGCCCTCAATTTATAGCCACTCATTAGTGACTGTTCCTCGCTCTACAGTCATATGATCTAAATTCAGGTGCTCAGCATTCGGCGTATATTCATGATCGCTGCCATGTGCTGGAGTCCCATGATCACCCTTTGTGACCTTCCAACAATTTGTGACTTCCAACAGGCAAAATTCAAAGGCTTCGCGTAATGACCGCGTGAGTCACGCAAGAGCTGCGGTGATTTGCTTAACAACTGTGGTAAAAACAGGTAGTAAAATTAGGTGTGATCCAAAGAACAACCGACTTGCTTAGTAATGGAATTTGGGTCCCAATTGTGTATGTAAGTCAAGGACTAGGAGCTGGAGCTAAGAGAAAAATTTCCTGACGGGGAGAACAATTAATCGGTGGAACGGTTTGCTTCCAGAAGCTGTGGGCACTCCATCACTGGAGGTTTTTAAGAAGAGACTGGAAAGCCATTTGTCTGAAATGGTAGAGGATTTCCTGCCTGAGCAGGGGGTTGGACTAGATGACCCTCAAGGTCCCTTCCAGTTCTGTTATTCTGTTACTCTGACTATCTGCAGCATATTGGCCATCACTCACCATCTCCTGATCAGGGCATGAATGCGAATTAAAACATCTCCAAGACAAGATTGTTACAAGGAAAAGGAGCCCTCCTCTGCCCTGCAGCTGATTCTACTGCCAAAGGACTTCTGACATTTTCCTAACATTATGAGATCTTTTCTCGCCCAACATTATGAGATCTTTTCTTACCCATCAACCCAGCCGGTGTCTGAGAGGAAGAAGTGGAGGAGGAGACCCTTTCCCTGAACTAAAGATAGCAAGAAAAGATATACCTCTTATCCCTCGTTCTTCCTCAGCACGTTGCCAGAATGTTCTTGCATCACAAATAATTGGCCCTTCTCTGCAGCCACAACGCCTGAAGGTCCGAAGAGCTGGCGGAAGATACCTGTGATCTTTTCAAGGCCAGCTCCGCTAAACAAATCCCCCCCAAAAAAGTCCAGCAGGTAAAGAGAAAAGGGAGAATGAAAAAAGAGGTTGGCTCCTGGAACAGTACTTTCTCCTTTCCATGTGAACAAGACAGTCCAATGGCCTGGAAGGAATGAAAGATTTTTCCAAACTGAAATCAATTTTTCCTGCTGCCAAAGGAGAAAAATTTGGAAGGGGTCCAAGCACAACTGGGTGTGTTGCGTCTCTGCTCTAAACAACATGGGAAAATAAGGTAAGGTTGGCATTAAGATGAGCACTCCTGTTCCTTTAATGCTGAATTGTGGGATCGCTTCCCCCTTTCTTTGTGTCCAACATGACCATGGAGGACCCTAAACCATCTGGAGAACTTCACATTGGCTCCGCCTGGTTTCTATCTTTCTCCTGAAATTTGGCTCATCGCCTGTCACTGATCTATCAGAAATGCAACCAACCCACAAGGTTGGGAGGCAGAGCCAAACTTTTTACAAAACCCCAGTTGCATATTCAGATCCACAAGAAAATCGGATGTAGATTAGCAAAACAAAGACCCAAATCGTGTTAGGCTTTCCGACATCCAAGATTTAAGTGTGTGAGTCAAATCAACTTAGGTATAAAATAAGAAGAGGTGATTCAAACTTTCCTTCCATGCCAATCTTAAAGCCTAGAATATTTTGCCGGAGAAAAACACAGGGAACCAGGATGACTGTAAGGTAGTCTTTGGCTTTTGACTCTCTGAAGATAGGGAAATTACAGAGCACTATTTTCCCCATCTTTGTAGCTGCTACAGGAGGAGGCAAACTAAATCCATGGAATTTCCTCCTGGTGTTCATCTAATGTAGGACATTTCAGGAAAAGCTCCAGGAGAATGGAAAGCAACACACTAAATATAGGTTCTGAGCAAGGCCCATGAAAGGAACTAGGAATCACTAATACAAAATGTTAGGCTCATTGTGCACAGATCATTCAGAGACTTGGTGGGGTAGAACTCGGTTGAGTTGAGCTGATGGCACCATCAGAGTATAGTTTTGGGGAAGAAAGATAGAACCTTCCTCAACAGAAAATCAACAACAACAGAGTCTCTGGCAGGTAGCAAAACTGATTTAACATATCTAGAAGTAGCTAAAGTCATGCATCTAACTATTGACAGAAACTCATCCATAGGATTATTTACTCAAGAATCTAGATGATTGAATTGTCCCCAGATTGAATGCAGATCTTTCTTCTCTAATGACCCTCAGGGGACATATCTTTGCTGTATTGATTTGGTTGAGGTGGTTCCATATTTACAAATATCCCTTGCTCCTGTCCTGAAGCCGCCTATCTCCAAAAGTTACCAGCTCTTAAATTTATAAATAACATTTTGAAGGAATTGCATAATTCCTTTATGTATGGATTTTCATAATTTTCTTCTTATTTCTGGGCCAGTTTCCATCTTGCTAGCTACTGTCAGAAGAGAGAGAGAGAGAGAGAGAGAGAGATGGAAAAGAAGAGGAAGAAGAAGAAGAAGAAGAAGAAGAAGAAGAAGAAGAAGAAGAAGAAGAAGAAGAAGAAGAAGGAAGGAAGGAAGGAAGGAAGGAAGGAAGGAAGGAAGGAAGGAAGGAAGGAAGTCAAATACTATACATGTTGTATGAATCCTGCCAATTGGCAAACCACAACTAAAACAAACCTGAAGTGCCAAGGGTGGACTGGTTAGGAATTTTCCTAAATCATGGTTTCAAGACCAATGGCTACTAGCCTTGGTGTCAGTGTGGCTACCTTTGAAGGTCATCAACTGGGAGACTAAGGGGCTTTCCGGTGCATTTGGTAGCCACTGTGAGGATAGACTACTGGACTAGATAGGCTAGGGATCTCACCCAGGAGGACACAGAGTATGTTCCTACATTTGAAAAATCAACACATTGCTTAGCCAGAGTTTGAAACCTGTTTTGGATGGCAAACTCAACCCAATAAAAAATGGTGGTGTGAGGAAGAATTTAGTTCCAAATTCATGTTGACTCTCCTGTAATAAAGTCATTAAAATGTAATTTGTGTTGTGGCTTATTAAACAGATAATCTTTTATAGTAATTGGGATGGTTACGAACCTAATTTACATCTTTTTAAATGTCTTATTTTAGAAAAATGCTTCCTATGCTTGATGTCAGTGGCTGGAGAGTAATTCCTAAGTGCCTACAAACCAGAATGGTTTGGTTTAAACAGCAGGGTAAACCCAAACCAAAGGAAGCGCATGATGTAATTTCCACCAACAGATTTCTCTTCTAGTTATTCTGGAAAACTCATGTAGGAGACGACTGACAATAGCAATTCCATTCATGAAAGGGGAGCCATGCTTCTACCACTCCTCTAGGTAGCTAATTTCGAGAAATTATCTATTTCTTTTTATTATCTACATTTTTCTAAATCTGGAAAAAAAATTCTTCCTCTTCTCTGCAATCTCTTTCATTGCAGCGGAGGCTAATGAAATTGCAATAACAGAATCGACATATTCTAGAGGAAAACTAATAGAGAACTATCAGTAAGGTTGTATTGCTCCAGAAGAATAAATACAGACATCTTAAAAATGTGCAAACCCCCCCCCACACACACACACTAAAACACACACAGCTGCAGAGGGGTTAGTTGGGAATGATGGACGTTGAGGTTCAACATATCTGTGGCGGCCACCGGCTAGGGAAGGCTGCTACCGAAGGTGCCTACAACTGATTCATTTGGTCACTCCAAAATGTGCCCAAACTGATGGAAGAAATCAACAACAATCAACAGCTCCTTGAACAACAGATGGAGGGAGATGGAAGACGATCAAAGCCGACTTGCATAACCCGTTTGAGGAAGGTGTTTCATAAACATTTCACAAGAATTACGAAGGGAGATCATCTCCCAACCTGCCTGTAATTACTGCTCAAGCTCGTCCTTAGCAAAAGGGTGAAATCGTCAGAATTCAACTAATAATAATCGGTGGAGAAAAGCCCTCTTTTGGCAACTTTTGGCAACCAGAATAGCTCAGGAAGACATGAGATAAAACCAGCTATGTGAAGTTCAGCGTCACCCTGAACCAGTTACGGGAACAGGAGCGATGCCTGGCCAGGCCCAAGAGGGAAGGGTGAGGAGAACTACACTGATACAGGTGTAGATAACCAAAAGTAGGCAGATGCCTCCAGACCTGTCAAACCAACTTGGGAAGTCTTATTTACTCTGCCTTCTTGTCAACATGAAGCCAATTCCTCTTGCTTGACTTTTTTTTTTTTTTGGAAAAAGAAAGACCTGTTGACATTCTTATTAAAATGCTTTGGAAAGGGTTACAATTTTGACATCTGCAACTTTCTCTGTGTTCCTCTTCTCTAGGGGAAGCTCAAGTTCCTTAAGTTGCTTCATGGTGGACTTACCTGATATGGTCCACCTCTCAAATCCCTAAGTAGATTCTCCACACTCTCCCTGCTTCCCTTCCGACGTTCACATTCATCTCCATGTTCGTGATAGGAAGACTCTCCAAAGCTTTGTTTATCTTGTCTTCCTTTCTTTTTTTTTGTCACAAAACCTTTTTCACTGGCCAACCTACTGTCCCCCAGACTTTCCTTAATCCATGCATGTTCTTCCAAAGCTTTCCCTCATATAGACACCATAACGTCAAATAATCCTAACTTATAAATCCTAACAGCTTTGCTATTGCCACAGTGACATGTGTTAACTTGCACGGTGATCAAGGCTTGCAAATTGTCAGAATCCAATTATATTTCATTTCTAGTTATCGACTATGGAAAACCCCATTTCTGCCCTCTCTGGATTCTGTCATACGATGAAGGGGAAGGGGGGTGAACAAAGGGGCTTTATGGCCCTCACTTCCTTCAGTACAACTTCGAGAGGGACTGAATGTGGATACCACCAAAAGGACTAACCATAACAATGAGGCCATTAGATTTCATCTAATCCTTTCTGAAGTTTCCCTTCCACCAGCAGTGAGGGAAAAGGGGGTGGAAATGTAACGCCTGGGATTTTCGCTGGAAAGATGGTGGGGTGGGGCTGCTGGGGATCCCTTAAAACCTTGAACCATAGGGCTTGGGCCCCAGATCCTGTCTAGAATGTCTGCAACCATTTGTTACTTGAAGATATTACCTAGTTGGGTAATAAAACATCAGCCAGAAAGTTTCCAAGCTCAGAGAGGATCCTACAGTTCAAATCCAAGTTACAAATATTCTTTTTTGTTGGTGCAACAGCTAATGAAAACATGACAAAATTAAGGGAAATGGGTAAGGGTTTAGCTTCCTAACCAGCCTCCAAAGAAGAAGGTAATTTGCAGAAGTTAATGTTTTCTATTTCGTGGAGAAATATTCAGTCAAGGACATGTAGGAGAAGCCCAATGGAAATACTGTCTCAACATAACAAATATTCTCTTAGGACACCCTTTGTCACAGAAGCCTTCCAGAGATGTAGGATGGAACTTTTATCCTGCACCACCTGAGGATGGTGCATACCATAATATAGCCCAACAAAGTTTTATGGCAAATGTGATTTTCTTTGCTTTATTTATGTCTTGCAATACTCCGTGTAGACCCTCCATGTAGGAGGGTCATTCGATAGTGACATATTTTCCACTTTGTTTCTTCTGAAGTCTGGAGGTTCTAGTTGAAACTTTGGACAAGGATGTGGCCCAAGATGAGAACTGAGAAGGAATGTATGGGGCAATTGAGAAGAAAAATTGAGAAGAAAAGAAGGACGAGGAGTGACATGATAACAGTCTTCCAATATCTCAGGGGTTGCCACAAAGAAGAGGGAGTCAGGCTATTCTCCAAAGCGCCTGAAGGCAGCACAAGAAGCAACAGATGGAAACTAACTGAGGAGAGAAGCAACCTGAAACTAAGGAGAAACTTCTGACAGTTAGAACAATTAACCAGTGGAACAACCTGCCTCCAGAAGCAGTGAAGGCTCCAACACTGGAAGTTTTAAAGAAGAGATTGGACAACCATTTGTCTGAAATGATATAGGATCTCCTGCTCAAGCAGGGGGTTGAACTAGAAGACCTCCCAAGTCTCTTCCAACTCTGTTATTCTGTTAAGTTTCTCAGTTTTAGTTTTGAGTGGCCCAGAAGATTTGAGAAAGGCCTCCCCACTCAAAAGCATCTCACACTCTTGGTTAGCACATTCCCATTCCCATGGCTCTTTCCCTCAAGACATGGCAATTGGTCTTTATCTGGAGATCTTTCCAAACACAAGAAATGGACAAGAGAAAGGCTGCTCTTTTCAATCCAACCCAACCTAACACCATAGTTTATGAATATGATAGATGTGGTCGTAGTTTGGTTTTGAGATGGAGCATCACAAA